AAGTTTACAGCACTTTTAAAATATATGCTTTGCCTTCTAAGAATTGTTAACTTGTTACATGCAAACATTTGCAGTGAATGGTGTTGATTAACCATTGAAAAAAAATCTACTATGCATGTCAGCAATTACGTACTTAGCCACAGGTAAACATTTACTTCATTTCTGACAAGATTCAATGCAATTACTAATCCCTTCTCTTGATGCTCAGAAAAGGTCCTCGGTTTGGGTTGTTGGAATGTTACTTGTAATGTTTTCTATATGAAAGTTGTATTTATCCATTTATGTTTTTAACCCTTAAATGCATGAATGTTTCACCAATCATTATTACATATTCGTGTCTTTAGCGACCCGGACCTATATATATATAGCACGGATGGATCTCTAACTGCTGCAATAGCAAAAAAAAAAAAAACTCTCTTGATATTTTAAGAACAAATACAGAAGAATAAAATAAATCATTTTTCGTTACCTTTTGAAACTTAAAAGGGTTCAATTTGAGCAGATGATTTTACCAGCGCTGTCATCGTCAGAGCGTACTTCCACAGTACATTCAGCATCTGCCTCATATTCACAATCTCAGCCATATTCTCAAAACTATCGTTTTCAATTACTTCATATTCAATATTATGATCACTGGCAGCTAATTCACCACATTCAGCATCAAATGACAGTGACATTTATATTTCATTGCGTATAGTAATTGCTCGGAATTAAAGCCATTCAAACCACTTCAATTGTTGCTGATGATATTCATTTGTTTTATGCCTGCGGTAATTATGAGTGAAATGTCACGTCATCATTGTGTATCAAACAGTGCCACCTTGAGGAAAAAAGTTGCATTGCACATATTGAGTCATCAGATATGTAAATATAGTTGCGTAGGAAAAAATACTTTCTCTAGCTACCCTATACACTTTTTACAAAAAATTAATCAGAAAACTGGCATTCTTTTATATTTTACTATTTTTTTCTTGTTATATTGTTTATAATTAATAGATTGAGGAATACGAAGAAAGTTGACGTCTAACTTAAAAAAATGACGGAGGAGAGGGTAGAGAATGATGTCCCGGGTCGCAAAAGACCCGAGGTATGCATTTAAGGGTTAAAATACTCCCTAAATCTTTGTTGACCATTATGATTCAGCCTGTATTTGCTGTAGCAAAAGTAGTTCCATCTAAGCATGACACTGGTGTTGCTGCTAAGACATGTCATGAAACTTGTTATGAATCCATAAATCCTTCATACCTGCTTTAGCATGCCAGCTACGAGTCTCAGCCTTAGATGGCATTCTCACAGACCATCTGCAGTTTGTTCACTGAGTGCCTGATTTATATTGCACACATAACTGGAAAGCACTTAGGCTCTTTTATTTTGTTTTATTTTTTTAAATGAGGAATAGCAATAGATGTTATTTTATAAATATTGTATTAGTATTATTAGTAGTAGTAGTCGTATTTTTACTGAGTAATAATACATATTATTTTTTATTTTGTTTTGTAATAAACTCAAGAGTCAAGAGTGTCAATGGACATTAATGTTATACATATTTTGTTAGTAGTAGTATTAGTAATAATAGTAGTATCTTAATGTATGCAGATTTGATGTATAAAATCAGTATTATAGGTTGCACAGGGCAGAAAAAGAAAATGTACAGAAATAGTTTTGGTTTGATATGATGAATAATATATAACCAGATATATGGCTTGATTCTATGAATTAATGCTCTGCTAATGATGGTAATCAGACACTAGATGTAAGAAATCAAAGAACAGATTTGCATACATTCCTTTGTCAATAATGAATGTTTAGCAATCACATGTCTTGAAATAGCTGAAGGAAAGCTCCTCTTTCTGAGAGCTCATCATTTCAGATCGAAATAGTGTCTTATTCACATGTGTTTTTGTGAAGCTGTTAAATCAGTTGTCTTTGTAGTAATTGTAATTATGCAGCTGAATCCACACCCACAAACGTCTGAAGAGTGCAGTGAACAATAGCCGGTTGGGTCTGTTGCCTTTCTCAGGAACTGCCAGATGATTTAATATGTGACAGGCAGACAGAGGGATTCAGAGACGTGCTGATGTGGCCTTTGTTGCTTGCACTGTATGAAAATAATTTTAGGTTGTTGCACTAGTATTCCACTGAGACCTTCCAGAGAGAATGACAGGCGGCACAGCACGCAAGGCTGGCAAAAAACAACTCGAAAGTGAATTTTAGGGTCGTCTTAGTAGAAAATTGTCTTGTTATGTTCATTTTGTCAGATATTCCACACACAAAATACAATGCATTTTTGCTGTTTAAGGCAAACAGGATCTATTGTGAGAGCTCAGATCAGATACATAAACTTTAATGTACACTTTTAAATAACTTGAGAGTTTTTCAAAAAGTAATATTAAAGTGATTTTGGGTGTCTATTTTCAATCCAAATAATATAAATTATGTTTTGTGATTTGGTTTTTATATCTTACAGTGACATTTTTGAAATATGACTGTATGCTCAGTTGTAGATCTGTTTTCTTTACAGTTCTGTCTTTTTGAAGACATCTGCCGCTTGACTTTCAGAGATGCACTAATTGCATGAATGCAATTGAATGTTTAAAGCAATTAAATAATACAATGTTTCACTAATTATGGGTTAAAACTTCAGTTTTTTTCTGATTTTCACAGTTCTCTTGTTTAGTGATAGAAAAATGGAAATATTCAAAACAAAAAATTAACTTAGCTTTTTTACTGAAGCTTGCTGGAATGTTCACTGGGTCTCATTGGTCAACTCAATTTGCACAGTAGAGACAATGCAGTAAATCATGGAAAAAAATATTCCAAATTGTGTATTTATTTTTATTTATTGTTTTTTTTTTTTACACAAAATCAAATACAACTTTATATGTATAAGAGGGGGTGTTCTGTTCTGTCTTCTAGCTTACTGGGAAGGCTTTTTTCTTTAGATCAGTGTAGCTTCACGCAGAGGTCAGTGAGGTGTAGGAATATTTGAGGATCATGAAACTGTCCTGAGATGAACATATCCAAATTTGTTCCTCCTAGCTTCTAGTGAAGGCTTCTTAAAGGTGCAAGTGATTTTTGAAAAAACGCTTTTGACCACAGCGTCGGACCGAGTCCCACAACACAAGTGTAGCCAATCAGCAGTAGGGGGGCGTGTCTTGTAATGATAGCAAGAACGGAGCACTCAATTTGAGTGTACAGGACAGATATTAGCAGTTCGACTATAGATAGAGAAGAGATGGCAGATAAAAAGAGGAAAATATCAGACAAACAAAACATTAAAAGGAAGGGTTACGATCAGGCAAGAGGTAGGACCCGCGTAAATATTGGAGAGTGTAGCTTCACGCAGAGGTCAGTGAGGTGTAGGAATATTTGAGGATCATGAAACTGTCCTGAGATGAACATATCCAAATTTGTTCCTCCTAGCTTCTAGTGAAGGCTTCTTAAAGGTGCAAGTGATTTTTGAAAAAAACGCTTTTGACCACAGCGTCGGACCGAGTCCCACAACACAAGTGTAGCCAATCAGCAGTAGGGGGGCGTGTCTTGTAATGATAGCAAGAACGGAGCACTCAATTTGAGTGTACAGGACAGATATTAGCAGGTCGACTATAGATAGAGAAGAGATGGCAGATAAAAAGAGGAAAATATCAGACAAACAAAACATTAAAAGGAAGGGTTACGATCAGGCAAGAGGTAGGACCCGCGTAAATATTGGAGCAGCTTTCCAGCGGGAAGAGTGGGAAGGCCTGGAATCGGACTCAGAGGTTGCGCTGTTTCTTTTTGATAGGTGAGTAACGTTTATTTTGCTTCGTTTCACACAACTTATCCGTATTGGCTTTTGTTTGAATATGCTTGTGTGTCATCTTCGCTTGTTTCCACAAACCTTGTTGCCATGGTTGTCTACGTACGTGTGAGGTGGAGATTTCAAAATAAGGGTGAGGTCCTGTCGGGGTATGGGCGTGTCTGTTTTGGTGCTTTCAAATATCAACATCGTTTAGCAAAAATCTTTTAGTGCACCTTTAATTCATTAACTATTTATTTATTTACTTACTTAAACTTCTAAAAACTTCCAAAACTTGTTAAATTCACCCTAAAACACAACATGCAATAATATCATTATATTTAAGGAGAAAAAAAATCAATATCAGTGGTTTTTATGGTCTTTAGAGTCTTTGGGTTAGACTGCCTGCGTCATTGTTTAGAGATCGTGTTTTGCATTTGTTTTCTGTACTTCTTGCAACTGGACAATAAAATAGCCTTCAGACTATTTTTTTTCTTCCCCTAAGAGATTCATCGGGATCATGAACCTTTCTGCATGTGGTACTGTATTTTTGTTCCTCAATGGTGTTTTTGCCATTAGTAATGGGAGATTCATATTCAGTTATAAGAAAAATGCATTGGATACCAATCAGAATGTTTCATACAGGATGCCAAACATTCAGGACACAAGCAGCCACTTCCATTTTACGCTTGCTAAATATGGTATTCAGCAAAGGTTCACTGTGGAAACTATTAATGAAAAACCTAATAGCAGTTGTGCACAAGTCTTTTGTGGCAGGTTGATTGAATTTTGAGGACCGAAGACCAAGAAGAATTGCTAAAACCTTCTGCAAGTCTTCAAACAAAACCTTTTTCTTTCCTCATAGAATTTTCAGCAGAAAGGTTAGGTATTTCTTCTAATTATATCTCTTTTTCCCTGTGTGGAGCACCTCTCTGATTCCACCCTCACGGAGTGCTATTGATCCCCGCCTCTGGCTCACAACTGTCAGTACGCGCTGGCACATCCTTGCTATATCTCTTTTTCCCTGTGTGGAGCACCTCTCTGATTCCACCCTAACGGAGTGCTATTGATCCCCGCCTCTGGCTCACAACTGTCAGTACGCGCTGGCACATCCTTGCACTGATGGCAAGGAAGGGCTTTTAGAGGGAGTGAAATCAAAAAGCAATTTACATGTTTTTCCCTCTCTCTCAAACTCTTTCTCTCCCTCTCTCTCCTCCTACAGAACTCCTGTCAGCCTGTCACGAGCTGCATTGCCGCTACGGATGCATCATGACCAGAAATGGCACATTCTGCTTCTGTGCGGATGGATTCGAGGTGGGAGAGGATGGGCGTAGCTGCAGAGGTAGGTGCTCTCAGGGTCACACCACAGGCATCTCAGACGAATGATGGGCTTTGGGCGATGAGGGGGGAGAGGGGTGGCTGTCCGTCCCTAGGGTGTCTTTTCACACCTCTGTCCTGGTTAATTTGACACGTGGCATTGACTCCAGAGAGGTCAAAGTGACTTCTCCGCCTGGTTTGGCCTAAATGAGACCCTCTGAGTATGATATTGAGGCTGGTTGTTGTACATGATGGTGAAATACAGCTGAACCATCGCCATGTTATGACTAATTGTCTCAGTAGCAGAAATCAGGCTCAAATAGGAAGTTGTAAACAGGGGATAGATTTGTCTCTTTACAGTGATGAATCTGTTCCAGTCAGGGAATATCATACACAATGAGGTCTTTTGCCTTTTTAAGCATTAACAGCACAAATACTATATATATATATATATATATTTGGGGTGTTGTACATGATGGTGAAATACAGCTGAACCATCGCCATGTTATGACTAATTGTCTCAGTAGCAGAAATCAGGCTCAAATAGGAAGTTGTAAACAGGGGATAGATTTGTCTCTTTACAGTGATGAATCTGTTCCATTCAGGGAATATCATACACAATGAGGTCTTTTGCCTTTTTAAGCATTAACAGCACAAATACTATATATATATATATATATATTTGGGGGGTAACGCTTTAGATTACAATCCGCAAAGAACTACGTAAGTATACTGAATTTACGGTGTGCGTTTCTGTAATTATAGTGTACCTATAAAGAACATACGTGTAGGTATAAGGGAACAATGTTTTATGTTTGGGTAATAAGGGGGTAACAACCAGATATGCAACCTGCAAAGAACCGTGTAAGTAAACTGAAGTTACTGCGTAACTTTTTTTTTTTGTTGTAATTATAGTGTACCTATTCAGTACCTCCGTGTAGGTATAAGGGAATAATATGCGACATTTGGGCAATAAAGGGGAAACAACCAGTAAAATTACAAATCATTTATACTGTAGGTATTATGAAATTAAGGGGTACCTATTCTAATTTTACGTGGTATATATGGCCTAAACAGCAATCTTATGTTTGGCAGTGATTTAGAAAGACGATAATTTTATATTGGTAGACCTATTTTATTATAGGCCTAGGTATTTTTTTAACCATTCTATTATTAAAGCATATATGATGGAGATTACTGAACAACAAAACTGGACATCCAGTGAAATTAGTTAATGAGTTTCTGCTATGATTTATAATTCACGAGTCTGCTTACCTTATGAAAGCTTATTCGTCGATCTCATCCGAGTCACATCAGCAACTTCCCAACACCACTATCACCAAATAACTTTGCATGATATACCATCAAGTTTCAATGCAGCTTAAAACAAGCTTACCGCTTTCCAGCTGTTTGCAGAAACAATACACAATACAACATTTGTATTTCAGTGGATGTATACTGTGATCTTTTTATAGCAAAAAAATGTAGAGGGTTTAATTTGGCCATCAGACAATTAAATTAAAAACTAAAAAATTGTCTCTGTAATTACTGTGCAAATATACACTTGTTCTGTGTTTGTCCAACTTGTTCCTCCTTTGTTCCATGTAGTTACAGGGTAAATACAACAGTTGCAGGCTGTAAAAAAAGCAAAGCAACTCCATACTTATTCAGCTTATACAGTTAAACCAAATTCTTTTGAAAAGCTTAAGAACAAATTTAAGATTTTGTTCAATTTATTCATGTTTTTCAACCACTGATGAAGCTAAACTATTATGGCCAAACCATCACGCCAATAAACACAGAAATAAACACTGAAAGTCAAGATTAAACTGTGTATTATAGCGAAGTGACAGGATTTTACCACCTTTGATTTTACCGTTTTGATCCACGTCCTCAAGCACCATTTTGACTAGTTCAGTTCCCGGCTTTTCCGCTCATCAGTCACAGCTCAATGTTGTGAGAACATACTCAGACAAAACCCTCCAGTTTTAAGAGAACACACTCCAGTCAGTTTCAAAAATCTCTCTCCTCTTCGCTTCGATTAGTTTTCTTGTGTTTTCGACACATATTCCCATCTTAAGCATCGTAGACACAGATTTTGTCGCACACACATCTGTTCGCGTTTGAACTCACGAGACTTGTGCATGCTCTCTTTCACGTCCTCTACATTCTTAACCCAGCACTGTCGGATTTCTTATTACTGATATTAACCCAAATTGGGTCAGCTTTCTAACCCAACAGTCTCAACCGAGCATTTGGATTGAAACAATTACCATATATTATTTATTTATTTATTTAGTTAGTTAGTTGGTTAGTTAGTTAGTTAGTTTTGTTTGTTTGTTAGTAAGATATGCAATACAGTAAAACAAAATAAGTACAATTCATTGAAGTATTGTTATTTAGACTAATTTTAATATTATTCTTGAATTTTCACCAGTCAAGCCTTAGATGCGGATATGGCATAACAATTATATTTATTTACTTACTTACTTACTTATTTATTTATTTTTTAAATGTTTCAACCCTGATACTACTCCACAATATATTAGAATTATATTAGATATGTTTTAATACATATTTTATATAGAGTATATGCATTTTGGTATAGTGTTTTTTTTTCTAAGAGAGATTTTAAGTTCTTAAAAAAGTAGATGCATACTTATTTTGTTATAGTTTTGTGTGAAATAGTTTATATTTATTTATTTAAGGTCTCAAAATCCTCAACAAAAAAAAACCTCATAGAAAATGTTTTTTATTTATTTTAATTTTTTGAAGGTTAAGAAACCCCCCACCCCACACCATTTTTTTCACTTACTATTAATTTGTTGGAGGAAGAAAAAACTTTTTAGGCTTTATTTTGTAGCCTGATCGTAGAAGGTTCCTCCGGACATTCAAGACAAATCAGTAAATCACCAGTGGAACATTACACTTCAGTACAGCTTAAACAGGCAAAGCTCTAGAGACTGGTGCAAGGCAGGACTTGCCCGGAGATACGAGGTGGCATAGAGAGAAGCCACCGAGAGGCCACATTAAGTGGATTTTATGTATTTGGGTCATGTTTGAGCACATCTAATTTGTCATAAATGACTCTTCCTCTGTGTACAGATCATGATGAATGCACCATGTACGGGACATGCAGCCAGACCTGCATGAACACCTATGGGTCATATCGCTGCAGCTGTACAGATGGGTACAGCCTGCAGCCGAACAGACACTCCTGCATAGTCAAACACGGTAAGAGCATGATAAATTAATGACCGGGGATCTGCATAAGCCGCCTGAAATGTTGTCACGTCCTGATATTTTTCTCTCACAAGAGTGCACCGAGTTGAAACAAGGTGGATTATTACTCTGTGTGATATGAATGAAATTAACTTACAGCGGCTGCAGCACTGCCTTAAGCCGCCTTTGGCGCTGGTAATTTTCTGACCTTGAAAAACATGTTCTGTATGCTTGAGAAATATGCAATGCTTATTAGATGTTGCGTGTATCTGAAATGACTTAGTTCTGCTCAGTGATTGCCACGCAAATAGGAGAGATTGGGGCTAGTTGTCACAGAGGGCAGTTGTCACAAACTTATATAAATATATGTATAATTATTTTTCTTCTATATACCTCACAAAGTGACAACATGCCCCTCTACGAAGTCAATACTTGTTTAGACTTCTTTTAACTTATTTTTTTTCTTCTTCAAGTCATTAATAATTCTACGTATGTACAGAAATTCTTCTCAGTTCTCAGGTTTGCCTTTTCCAAGTGAGCTTGCAGGGATCACGTATGAATCCAGACTAAACCAGTTCAGCCTCTCATTCCCATAAGGACCTGAAAATTGAGGCAGTTTGCTTTGGATATTCTGCTACAGCCCTAATATCAGTGTTGCTGTGCCCAGAGACAGAAATAATAGAGCTATTGGTGGAAGATAAGCCAGACATTGAGGATTAAGTGGAGGCTGAGTTTTATGAAGAGCAGGGCCTGAAGGACAGCTATTCTCTGTCTTTATCAGCCCATGCCAATGATTACTTGCCTAATGGCACCTGCCTGTGAGAGTGTCTCCCCACCAGCCACAAATCCAATCAAGTTTATCATTAAATCGGCTGCTTTTGTAATAAGGGGGTTTTGTAGGGAAAACACTCACTACAATTCTAAATGGATTCTAATCCCTTTTGTAGATTGGTCATTTGTTTGGGCTCAGGTAATTGAAGTCGTTTTAATAAAAAAGCGTTATTGAGTCCCAAATGTTCAATAACTAGCTTTTCTACAGCTGGGAGAATTATTATAAAACAAGGAGAAAATGTGCTGCATATAGTTGATTACTTACAGTGTTAGCAGTGGGAAACTATATAGATTAGAGCAAACATAGTGAGCACGTATATGAGTGGCTCAAGAGTGGATTGTCTATAAAGCATTGCTGAGCTTTTGCTCAGGTTTGCTGTTGTTGGATTGGCTGCTGTGTCTTAGCAAAATGGTGGACATTAAAAAAACATCTAAAATTACATCTTAATTACAGTTTACAGCACCATTCAAGGAATAATTCACCCAAAATGAACATTTGCTGACATTTTACTCACCCTCGGGCCATTTAAGATGTAGCTGAGTTTGTATTTTCATCAGGGCAGATCTGGAGAAATTTAGAATTATATCACTTGCTCACCAATGGATCCTCTGTGGTGAATCCACAAGTAATCCATTAATTAACATCATGTGAAGTAAAAATCTGCCTCTTTGTAATAAACAAATCCTTCATTAAGATCTAAAGATTTGGCTAAAATACGAGTCTTCTATCCATGATATTGCATTCTCCAGTGAACTCTCATTCTGACACTGCAGAGGATCAATTTAAGCATCATATTTGTGTTCAAACATATGATTCATATTTTAAAAAGATTTACATACATTTTTAATCATAAACGTTGTGGAAAATATCAGCTAAATGTTGTTAGAACTTACTGGGACTGTCTAGGAAATTATACACTGTAAGTAATTTGAAATTTTCCAGGTTTTTTAGGTCCTATAATGTCATTTGCAGTCCTATGAATTTTGGCATTACAAACTGTCCCTGCTTAAATTTATTATATTGAGTACACACAATTCACAAACTTCACAATTCACGAACGTCTGTTACAGTGTGTGCTTGGTCTGACGGCCTCAAAAGATGCCTTGTGCAAAGCATTTTGTGACCTAAAAAGATGATGCGTCCTAGTATTTCTATTGGTGTGGTGCACTGCAACCGGTTTGCATATGTGTTTTAAATTAAATGGAGATTACGCCACTGTGCGCTCGGTGGGAAATAGCTAGCAGGCAGCGGCGCACCTTGCTGCTGGAATGCAGAATCTGTCCCACGTTTAATCAATATGACTGCTTTCCTATGAGGAATAAACTGAATATCATTACCCATAAACTTAACTGAACTCAGTGCTCACCCACATTAATATTAATTTAGCAGAAAGAGGTTGTTGCACTGGGATAACTTTGGGGTTTCCATTAGATGTAAAAGCTCATGCATATAAATTCAAAGCATCATCTTTTCCCGGCCGTCTGACGGGGGCCAGCGGAGGATGACATAGCCATTAGAAAGGTGAATGTTTAATAAGACTCTTAAAAATAAATACACTGCAAAATAATTGAAAGGAAAGATCTTTGTTGGTCTATTTTACGTATATACTGTATATACAAACCTGAAAATAAAAGTATTCACAGGTTGAGACATTCACACACATATACGCATATATACACACAAATTGTATTATACAATGTGAATATAATACCCACTTTCACTTTTGAAATACATTGCAAAACTGAATAAGAAGAGAGATTTCCAGCTGACTGCTGTGTTCTGAAAATGGGTTTCTCTCCTAAGAGACATGCTTCTGAATTACCCATGCCCTCTGCGGAAGCCTGTATTATCCTATTCTACTGAAAGCATGGAATGCCAAGGAAATGCCTGGCCTCAAGCTGTCTTGTCACTATTTTCCTATCCATCTATTCCAGAGACCGGTGAAAGCCCTGCAGCACTGCTGATTGGAGGCTCGGATAATATTATAATCACAGCCCTAAATGGATCCCGCCTGCAAACCCTCAAACAACTGGACTCAAATGGAACTCATGGCTTGGATTTCAACCATAAAGAGGAATCAGTATGCTGGGTCACTTCCTCAGAGTCCTCTGGACAACTCCGGTGTGCCAGGATGAGGAAAGCAAGTGGTTTCACTAAAGAACAGGAAGTAAAGACAGTCCGGAATCTCCACGGTATGATTCCTGTTAAACTCTCCTGCTACATTGAAAACACAATACGTTGAAAGAAAACTGATGAATTGATTTTGATGGGTGATGAGACAAAGTGAGAGGACTAAACTTACGGTTGTGCACAATTCTGAGTTGAATCTGCCTTAGAAATTCCAATTCAGTTCAAACAGGATGCAGAATTTGAATTCCATGGAATTTAAATGTAATAAAATTCATGTAGTTTTTAATAATGATTTTTTTTTTCATTTCTTTTCACTCAGACATATTTTAGTTAAAATATACACAACATATGTGATATTTCAAGTAAATATAGATGTTTTTTTTTTTAAATGCTACCTATAGAAATTTGGATTTAAGTTGTACATTCACCTTTTAAGAACCATGTTGGAAAAACATAATTTTCCAGAATTCTCTAAATTACCTCAAAAATAAAGAAATGTTTTGACAGTGTTAAACTTAGTTTGGAGAAATATGTCTAAAAAAAATGTGTAATTAAAATTGTTGTTGTTTGAATTTAATAAACATCTGATCATTCCCATTCTTAACTTCCTAGTGTTAAAAATGAGTTTCATATAAAGTACTAATGCAAGGTAAAACAAATCTGGCTTAAAGTTGAAGTTAAACGTTTTTGTCCTTTACTCATGAGACCTTATTTCTCATGCTGAACAAAACATTTAGTGTAACACTGAGTTCTGCTTGACTGCGTAGTGCTTATCAATGCAAGCTGTATGGAAGCTAACAGAGCTTATAATTTATTTACCGCTACATGAAATGTTTTATGCACATTTGTATAGTTCATCCTACAGTATGTATCCATTAAGTATTCATTAAAAGATCTCAAATCGAAAATGATTTATTACTCTTTTAATAATTAGCCTATTAGTTTTCAGTGTTGAATCAGAGAATAAGAACATACTCTCATTTCAGGATATTGATCCAAACAATAGCCTCTAAACCGATTTTTTTTCTTTCACTTAAAGCAAAGCATTTCAGTTAAAGCATATTTCAAGGCTGGCACAGTGCATTAAGAGCCTCTAATGGACCCCAAGTTTATGATCATGAAAAAGTAAATACATTGTACTAATATGACTTTTTTTATGAAGTTTATGGGGCACTGTTTTTGTTCAATGGTAGGCTTTTTTATTTTTAGTTTAAAAAGTGCACTGTTTGTTTTACTTATTTCTTCTAGTGTGTTTATCGTGCTTGTTGATGCATTTAATTACGTATTTTTTATATTCCATCTAAAATACAATTAAAATGGATGAATATTCTTTATAATGTATCATATAAAGTGGCACTAACAACATTTAACAATGAAATATTAATTTAAAAAAAGAAAAGTAGCAATATGTAGATTAGGAAATTATTTTCATGAATACAGTCTTTCATGAATATGATTGATTGATTAACACTTCATGGCAAGAATTCTCAATGACGTGTGCATGAACATATGCCAATTAATGATGTGTCACATCAATATATCATCTTGTTTTGTGTAAATTGACCATGTTTTCCTTTGTTTCAGACGTTGATCAATTAGCCTTTGACTGGCTCACAGGAAACTTTTACTTTGTGGATCAAGCAAGCGACAGGATATTCGTTTGCAACCAGTATGGAGACACCTGTGTTACGGTGATAGACCTTGACCTTTTGAACCCTAAAGCAATCGCTCTGGATCCTCTAATGGGGTGAGTTGAAAATGCATGAAGCGAGATTTCATCTTTGACTAGGCCTTTGATAATCTAAATCCTCTCACACATATTGCAATATGTTAGGCAAATATTTCTCTGAATGTGTCTTGTCTGTACTGTTCCCAGAGCTCAATATTTACTCTTCTTTTCGACACTGTCTGGTTGCATGATTGTGCTACGACTCCCACAGTCAGGAGTGTCATTAGTATTCCATGATTTATCCAGCATCCCACAGTCTCGACCGCCCTTGCAGAAATCTGCTTTACATGAGGTTTGTTTTGCTTTGACACCACAAAGCCGCAGTTGAAACAAGGGGGTGGCGGATCCCTCACGTCAGCATGGTGATTGTGGAAATGTTTCGAGAGAAATGAGTAAAAGAACACAAAGAGTCCTCAAAGGAGAGAAGGGCAGCATGATTATTCTAGTCATTAGCCGCTAAAAGGAGCGCCGTGGTAATATTCCCGGCGAGCTTAGAATAGGAATTCATGAGAGAGTTTGTCCCATTTATTCATGAGAGTGCACGGATAGGCAGAGCACTCTGTTCCGGGTTTTTTAATGAGACGCCTTGCGCCCAGTGAACCTAAATTGTAGCACCGGTGTTCAGCAGACTAAAGACTGCAAGGAGAGCCCAGGCCATCAATTTCACTTCCGTTCTTCGGTGTGTGTGGTTGTCATGCTTTTGTTTTCGTGCTGTGACTCTGACAAAAACTAAATCCTGACTGCCCTGAATGAAGGCGTATTTAAAGGAAATGACAGCCGTTTATCTCTTTGAGTCTAAATGCTGTGTTCTTTCTCCTGTGATCATCAACAACCTCGCAGATCTTTCAAAAACTTTCAAGAGATTTTGAATGGAATGCACACTGAATTCTCTAGTTGCATCGCTTTAGTGTTTGGCATTTTAGTGCTAAAGTATGTTTTATTGCTGACTGTACAGTATAAGGCAGAGATGGTCCATTCATACATATGAATGATTGTAACACTCAATATGGCGGCTTTTTTAAGGTAAAAGATTTTTTTTTTTGCAAAGGCATCTCGATGCTCCATATGGTGTCTGTAGGAATAAAAGTCCTTTTTTAGGTTTCTTGAAGCATCTTGGAGACGTTGCCACAGTTCTTCTGGATTTAGTCTCAGTTTGTTCTGTTTCTTCATGTCATTCCAGACAGACTGGATGAGGATGAGATCAGATCTCTGTGTGGAGCACTGGCTGTTGTCAGACTCCTTGTGCAAACAAAAATCTCACTGAATTATTACAATTAATGGAAAAATGAATGCTTGGAAATGTAAACTGATATATCCTACTGACACACTACAGCAAAAGACAAAAATAACTGACTTAAAACCATTTTTAGCTGGTGAAAATACTAGTGTTCTAATAATAATTTAACAATGGCCACCACTGTATTCATTATGGGCAAAGAAAAATATATAGGCTATAATAAAATTATCTACGATTTGAAAGCAGAAGTTGTACAAAGTGCACAAGTAAAGTGAAAGCAAATGCTTCAGTCTTTTTGGCCAAATAAAATGCTTGGCTAGATACAGATTTGCTTTGTTTTTCTAGCTTTCAAGTCTGCAAAGCTCTCGGTGTGCAGTACGTATGCTGTAGGATATGACTTTAGAAACATATGCTTCTGGTTTTGAGCTTTTCTCTTGGGCTCTCATATGTTTTTGAAAGATCCCCTTATTCACCTCACAGAGCCGACCTTAAGCAGAAAATCCAGTTTAGGAAAAATCTTGAAGTTGGCCCTTTTTACCCTTATCAAACAAGCTCAACACTGTTCCTCCTCCATTCACTGTGAACATGCCTTTTTGTGTCCTTTTATGGTCCATGATGAGCATGTAATTGTACCAACTTAAACGGGTTTTTTAACGCACCGTTGGTGCGTTTACATAAACATAACCCACGGGAATGGCTCTCTCACATTTGTACATGGCCTTCAGTGCATCCAGCCAGTTTCCTCCCGGGAATGTGGGAGAGGAGTGCAGCGGTTAAACCTCCAGGCTTCAGCAAAGTGCAGTTTACTACATAACACTGCCGTTCTGCTTTTTCTGGTCCTCCTCCTGTAATTGGCGAGATGAGGTTGGAGCTGCTTGTGTGTGAGGGAGGCTGAGGGAACGCAGGAGGTCTGTCAGCCTGGAGAGCTTGAGTGAAAACAAAAGAAATTGAGGGGGTTTGTGATAGTGGCTCAGCATGAGGCGTAGTAGTTATGGAAAGAGTTCACGAAACGTTAAGTGTTTCGTTTGTGGTTTTGAAATATTTTTCCTTCCCTATTTTTTTGTCCAATTTCTCGCCTGCTTTCTTGAAGGAGCCTCCGTCCTCTTGTACACTTCTGGAGAGGCTTTATGTAAAATGTAGCTTTCTAATTTGAAACAAAAATCCCAGAGAGGGAATAAGACTGAACTTGGCTTAACCTCGCTTTTCAAAGTCTAACTTATTCCTCAAAATCAATTCGAAAAAGCAGGGTGAGAATTTTTTTTTTAGTCAGTGGAGAGTGTGAAACTTGAATTTCATTTAGAGCAAAGTGAAAACAGAGCTGTGCGCAAATCTTTATACATCCGCTATTCAAGACCCCCCCCCCACCCCCCACACACACTCTTGTTTGGTAATCTGTCTTGGTGAAAGAAAGGGGAGGCATTTTCAGTTTGGTATTCTCTACAGTAATGAAATTCCCCTGCGGTCCGGGTTTGGGTTGGACCATTGTGTCACCTTGCAGTGATTACTTAAAGTCAGGGTTGAAAGGTCTAAAGAAACAGATGAGATATATGACTGGGTCAGATTGGTTCCCATTGTGTTTTGTGGTTTGTCTAGGATTATTGAGTTTGTTATCTAACCACCAAACAAATAAATAAAGTATTGTTGATTTATCATTCTGTGGTTATTGTTATGTGGTATCAGAATGCAACATTCACTGCAAGAATATGTTCTGCATCCATGTCTCATCTGTTTGTATTATTAGAATCAGGAATCAGAAAGTATATACACAGTACAGTGAACAATGGTGGAAAATGTTTGTTTGCCTCAAACACACACTCACTGCTAGAGCGCAGAGCAATATACGGCATATAAAGTTATGGATTTATTTTTAAATTAATTTTGCTTTATTGCCTTTGTTGTCCTCTAATTATGTAGTACTGATTCTTGGTGTGTTTTGTTGGATATATTGCAGACTTGTTGAATGTCGCTGATAATACAGTAATTAATAAATATGATTTATTTTAATAATTCTAAATTCTAGATTCTGATGGGGATTATATGTTCTCTAAATCTAGCAAATTGCTAAATTGTTTGGCAACAATGTCTACAGTAAGCCTAACAAACTGTATTGTTCATTACGAACTGTGGCAGGAGAATATTTTGTTTTTATTATTAATAAAAGTAGCTATTTTTTTATTAAATGACACATCACCATTCTCGCCTTATTAATTTGCTGATCTTTGCCATACAAACACTGAAAATTATTATCTTATTAATTTGCTGATCTTTGCCATACAAATACTGAAAATTATTAAAATATTGTTAAAAATCTCATCTGTATTTGATTTAGAAATAACATTATTAGTTTACCAATAAAATTAAACAATGTATAAAAAAATATAACGGCAACATACTTTTTAAAATATACATAAATTAAGTGTTAAATGTGTTCTATGCAGATTAAACTGCTTTATCATAGTCAGAATGACCCAGCCATCTCGCAGATTAAATGTGGATGAGTGAATAATATCATGGATTGCTGTATGAAAACTTTTCTTCCATATAATAGCAGGAAAAAGACACTGAACTTGCAGATACCTTATCAGCTTTATCCTTCTGTATGTCATTTATTTTGGTGTTAAAAATCACATTCAGCAGCTCTTGAATCTAATATATGGCAGTGGCTTGCTCAGAAAGAGATGGATCCTCTTGCTGACAATATATAATATAATCATGTATTTAAACAAAACAAAACATATTATTACAATTTAAAACCATCTATTTTAATGTTTCAAAATGTAATATATTCGGTAGCACTTTAGTTTAGGGACCAACTCTCACTATTTGCTGTTTGCTTATTAGCATGCTTATTACTAGCATATTGGCTGTTTATTATTACGTACAAAGCACATATTGATGCCTTATTCCAGCGTTTCCAAATCGGAAACGCTGGAATGCCCCCCACGTTTCCAAATGCCCCCCACCTCCCCCACTCTGCATATTTAATGGTATTTATTTACAGAGCTATATTATGTCACATTTCACACCTCTCTAATAAGTTTTGTCTGTGTATGAAGACGCTGCAGGCCGTGGTGTTGCGCAAATCCATGAATGAATGTTCCGAAAGAAAACTTCAACGGATTTCCCCTGCTCAGGGAGTAGGGAGCAATGAACACTGTGTAGAGATCATTTCAATCGGAACACTGTTCATGTAGCTCTCTTCTAACGAGCTGGTTATCTGAATCAGGTGTGTTAGCTAAGAGAGACATGCAAAATATGGACAAGCGAGGACTGGGATTGAACCGCTGCCTTATTCTGCATGGCCATATTTTAGATCCCTTAATCCTACCCTATACCTAAACGTAACCACTACCTTACTAATTATTGATAAGCAGCAAATTAAGAGTTTATTGAGGTAAAGGTTGTAGTTAATAGTTAATTTATTATAGTTTAGAATTGTCCCCAAACTTAAAATGTGACCATTTATTCCTGTAATGGTAGACACATTTTTCAGCATCATTACTCCAGTCTTCAGTGTCACATGATCCTTCAGAAATCACTCTAATATGCTGATTTGGTGCTCAGCAAACATCTTTTCATCTTTTTCTTTCATCTTTTGTAACATTATAAATGCCTTTGACGCATCCTTGCTGAATAAGAGTAATAATTTCTTAAAGAACATCAATCTTTTGAACGGTAGTGTATGATATATTTATTCCTTACTTTTAAGTGGCTTGTTACTTGAGTGTTGCATTTTTAAGATGGTATGTCAAGTTAAAAACAGTGAAGCTTGCCAAATTGAAAATGTGCTTTCCAGTTTTTGTACAATATGCATTAGACAGTGGGCGGTCTGAGGATGTTGCTGAGAGTATGTCTATCTGATTTTTAATCCTGTTTGTACGACTTTGAACATAACGGAACAATGCAGTTAACGTTTTTTTTCCCCCGTCTAGTATGAATTGTTCTTTTCTTTATGGAACAGTGTAGTATCAGTTTCTGTATTGAGGGCTGAACTGTTCCAAATTTGAAAAAAAAAGAAAACAAAAGATGGCTGAGGAACACAGAGCAAGTCAAACACCACAGTGTACTGGAACTTTGTACGTGTTACAGGAGCCAATTAGTTTTTATTTTGGCAGGCAGGAAAAGCATCACTGATACAAGGTTCAACTATTTCTAGCATTCAGAAAACAAAAGATTTGAGGAGGGTCAAGAAGCAGAAGCCTTAGAGAGACATGCTTTTTACATCTTTTACTAATATTCTAATCAGCTAAAAGTCTGACTTTGAAACATTTAATGAGTTCTCCTACTTCAGTCCCCAAGGGACAAATGAAATGACTTACAAGAAAAGGTTGATACTGCGCTGCAAAGAATTCTGGATAACAACAGACTACGAGATGGATCTGCCATGATAAAAAGCTCCTTATGGGGAAGTTTTTTAATTTCCTTTATGTTTTATGTTTGCTTCTCTGGAGCAATTAAGCACTTGGGGACTGCTGGCTGTGTGTGAACTCTTTCCTTGTTAGATTCCTAATTAAATTATGTGTTTGCAGTATCAGCCACTAGGTATCTGATGTTGTTAGAGCTTGAACACTCAGTCGAACACACTTTGCAGTCACTGGTAGACTTTTTTGTAGCTGTTTGTAGCCTGGTCATTTATTTGCATACACAAAGGGCATCTTTTTTTGAGCAGGGCTACTGTAATTGAAATACTTCAAAGGAGGATGGCGTCATTTGATAAATGCATTTATGCCTATCACTAATGAGGTCTTGCTTTAATTGGCAACATGTTTTATGGGTGGAAACAAAAAGAAAGTCTTACAGGAACAGCCAGTGATGAAAAATAGATCTTGTTGTTTTATGTGTCACAGTAATGTGTACTTTTAAGGGAATAGGAAAGAATGTGACATTATTTACTCGACCAAATGTTGTTTCAAACCTATATAGTATACAGCATGCTTCCTTGGTCACGTCTAGCTGTTGTCTTATGGAAAGATTTACGGGTTTGGAATGACATGAAGATATGCAAATTAGGATAGAAGTTTCATTTTCTGGGTGACCTCAATATGTTTTAATAAAAACAATTGCACTTCCTGATCACTTGCAGGATGCTCTTCTTCACTGACTATGGGAATCAAGCCAAACTGGAGCGCTGCAACATGGATGGCACCAACAGAACTCGACTTGTGGATTATAAGGTTGAGCGGCCGACTGCCGTGGCATTGGATCTGGTAAAAAAGTTGGTGTACTGGGCAGACGCATATCTGGATTACATTGAAATGGTGGATTACAATGGCAAAAACAGACACACTATCATCCAGGGATATCAAGTGAGTTCTTGTTCTTTCTTTTTTTTTGTCTTTTTGCAGCTTTATACATTACTATTTAAAGATTTGGGGTTGAAGAATTTTGTTTATGTTTTGCAGAGAAGTCTCTTATATTCACCAAGGCTGCATTTATTTGATCAAGAATACAGTATAAACAGTAATGTTGTGAAATGTTGTTTAAAATTTAAAAAATACTCTTTTCTATTATATTTTACAATTGCATTTATTTAATGGCAAAGCTGAATGTTCAGCAGCCTTTACTCCAGTCTTAAGTGTCACATGATTCTTCAGAAATCATCCTAATATGATTCCTGAAAGATCATGTGAAAATTTGGTGCTCAAGAAAAATTCATTGTTATCAATGTTAAAAACAGTTGTGCTGCATTATATTTTTGTGGACACTTCTGTCACATTTGATCAATTGAGTGCTTTTTTTGTTGCAAAAATAAATAAATACATTTATAATAGTAATATAAATAATAATAAAAAATTATTACAATTATAATAAAACAAATACTGACCCCAAACTTTTGAACAGTACAGGGGTGGAATAACAAATGTAGTAGCTTAGCAGCAGATGATCATAAAAGAGAGTTCTTCTTAAGGTTATCCTAGCCAAAAGGAGCAGTCACATTTACTGATGCTTGGCGAAATTTTGTATGCAAAAATCTCGTCATTTCATTTTGAATCCATGTGACTGAGCAAAAAAGTGAATCATGCTAATCTGGAGGGGGAAAAACTGCTTGGTTTGAAAGTGACTTGTGTGTGAGCTGCATCACTACCCTATTGACAATGGACTTTTGTGTCTGCGAAATCATTCCGAAATGTTGCTAATGTTACCATTTTTTAATACACCAAAAAAGATGTTGTTTAGATAAGCTCTTAATAGTAAAATTAATATGATATGAATACTTACCAATGGTGATGTGAAGGGAAGCAAAGGATTGTTTGTCTGATGCAAGATTTAAATCATTCCTGTTCGGGGAAGAAAGAAACCAACACAGTTGTACACAGATTGATTTCAAGTATTAATTGGTTATGGCATTTATACCCAGCAGCGACTGTATCTGTGTGGCTTCATCTGCGTTTTAATTTCTCAAGCTAGTTCTTGCATTAATTAGTTTAAATGAACACGGGCTACAGAAACAGATTCACCATTTGAATATTTTACCTGAAGTGCACTTAAGAGGATGGTAATTATGGATCATTATTATTCAAAAGTAGACCTCAGCTAAGCAACCCAAAGATCTTCTCATTGTTGGAAAGTGTAGAAGGCCACGTACATTGAGCAATGGATGACTGTATTCAGGCAGGTGCGGGTTTGCTTGGTTAAATGGAGCTCTTAAATATGAGCTGCAACGTATTGGTGAGAGGTTGCTAACACATTTAATTTCCATCGCAAATTAAGGTGAGTTTCTGCGAGTCCTGAAAACGGTATCTACCCTTTTCGACTTCATTGTTTTTCTAACGGGTTTCTTATTATGTGACGACACCCTTTCTAATTAGGCACCCTTGCAGGAGAACTTTTTATTTTTATTTAAAGCATGCTTTGTTCTTTGCTCACTTACTCTCCACTGCGCTCAACTATATTCAGTAATATATATTTAAATAATTACATTAGATATGCAGTGGCCACCAGAGTGTTTGGATACTTAACTCATGAATGTAATTCCATTAGATGACACAATATCAAACCAAGTGCTTATTTCAAAAGAAGCATAGCTCTAGCAAACAGTTGCATAAAAAAACTTTCAAGCAAAAAGTTGCACAAAAATATATTTTAAGTGATTATTTAAGTGAACAGGTAAAAAGTTTTCATTATTTTCTCTTTATTGATATTTTATTTTCAATTGCAATTTTATATCAGTTTTATGATTGTGACTATTATATGTACATACACTATGATTCAAAAGTTTGGGGTCAGTAAGATTGATTGATTGATTGATTTATAAAGAAATTAATAGTTTTATTTAGCATTTAGCACATTAAATTGATATTTACTTTAAATAAATACAAACTTCACATGATGGTTTCCATACAAACATTTTGAAGGATCATGTGACACTGAAGACTGGAGTAATAGCTGCTGAAAAGTCAGCTTTGCCATCACAAGAATAAATTAAATTTTAAAGTATATTCAGATAGAAAGAAGTTATTTTAAATGGTAATAATATTTCACAATATTACAGTTTTTACTTCATTTTTGGTCAAATAAATGCAGCCTTGGTGAGCATAAGATACTTCTTTCGATCACATTTTACGGTCCAATTCTCACAAACCATTAAGTACAACTTTTGCCTCAATAAACTATTAATTTGCTTATTAATAATTAGTAAGGTATTTGTGAAGTTTAGGTATTGGGTAGAATTAAGGATATGTGCATTATAAGTACTAATAAACAACCAATATGTTATTAATAGTCATGCTAATAAGTAACTAGTTAATAGTGAGAATTGGTCCCTATACTAAATTGTTACCCTTCTTTCAGAAACTGTACCGACCCAAAAGTGGTTCAGAGGTGGAAACTGGCTTTCATATAGTATCATTATGAAATGTTCTTTGGTAATATGATGGACCCCTGTGTGGACTCACTTTATACATCCATTAAAACTGATCTCAAAACCAGTTGATTAAAATTAATTGCTAGAATGGAAAAAAAAATAATTTTAATTGTGCATTAAGTGTCCAGATACTTTGTGGGGACACTGGAATATCTACTCTTGCCCTGGAGGAATAGTTGAGTATCTGACTATAAATTTAAACGAGAATAGCATTATGAGCCACACAATTTTGCCACTATTTCTTACCTCTTGCAGTAAGGGAAAGAGAGGATGAATTATCTCCCTGTGGGTTTAGATGAAGCACAATGCACATTTTAATGTGTGTGTATTTGCAGGCAGGGTTCAGCACTCCCAGTCTGCTCCTGTCACGTGTTGCTTGCAGAGATAGCATGTAGGCTAGAATCACTGCACAGAATCGAGGTGTCCCCAGAGAAACACATGCACTCTAGCTGACCCAGCCAAACGTCCTGAACTGCCTGAATGCATATCAACACAATTCCATTACCTTCCACCTGTCTGCAAATCTGCACCTCTTTATTCAGATTGTGGGTTGTTGCCAGGTCAAATTAAGTCTAATAACAGCTTTAGCTAATGGCTAATTCGATGTTGAATGTTGATGTTGAATCAATGGGAAATACCAAGGACTTTATCTGTGCTGTTCTGCTTTTGTTGAGCTTACAAGGTGATATTTACCTAGCTAAGTAGCTTCTGGGTGTTCTAATCAACCTGAAGTAGTCAATGTTCCTTTTTCTAGGTGGCCCACCTGCATGGATTAGCTGTCTTTGAGGACTACTTGTATGCAACTCGCTCTGAACCCTCCAGTGGAGCAGTGGTAGACATCTTACGGATAAATCGCTTTAATGTCACAGACCCGGAGACGCTAACCAGCATAGGAAATGCAAAAACAATACGGGTTTACCACAAGCTCAGTCAGCTGAAAGGTAAAGTATGTGTTTGGTTTGAATTGCTTGTTTAGACCGAACAGCATGCATGTCTATGCATCTGTTTTGTTTTGTTTTTCCTGCCTCATGTGCATCACTTTTTGGCTTTTGTTTCAGGTTTTGTATTATATATATTAAAACAATAATACATTCTTCAAGATTATATGTATATATGAATATGCTAATTATATGCTAAGTGACACCAGTGTCCTCTCTTCAGTCAAGGGCCATGCATGTGAAGTTGACCCTTATGGTAAACCAGGAGGATGCTCGCACATCTGCCTTCTCAGCGGGAGCTACAAATCCCGGAGCTGCCGCTGTCGTACCGGATTCAGCCTGGGAAGTGACGGGCTGTCCTGCAAAAGTCAGTTCACCATAGTTCACAGCCTTACTTTTGTGCACTGTAGCTGTTCAAATGTGTTGTTCTGAAATAATATGATTAATAATGATAATACTGATTATAATAATAGTAAAGACTGTCAGTGTAACTTTTAACCCTGTAAACCTGAATTATCACGTAATAGTATGAAAAAAAATATATATTTTTCAACCTTTACTAAAAGACAAATCCTAAATATGATCAAAGCTCTGTAGTTTTTATTGTGGGGGTGAAACATATAATGCAATGTAATACAATGATGATTGAGAAATGTACAAATAAACATTCCACAAGACCCTGATATATCATATTTGAAACAATTTAACATTATTTTTATAAAAAATTATAATAAGGGATAATCAAATAAATCTAAGTAGCCTCATTCCAGTGAGTGTTTGTCTTGAAATCCTAAAGGGATAGTTCACCCAAAAATTTAAATTCTGTCATTAATTACTCACCCTCATGTCATTCCAAACCCGTAAGACCTTTGTTCATCTTCGGAACACAAATTAAGATATTTTTGATGAAATCCAAGAGCTTTCTGACCCTCCATAGACTGCAACACAACTACTGTACCACGTTCAAGGCCCAGAAAGGAAAGGACATTATTAAACAAGTCCATGTGACATCAATGGTTCAACCTTAATTTTCTGACGCTATGAGAATACTTTTTGTGCATAAAGAAAACAAAAATAGTGACTTCATTCAACGATTTCTTCTCTTTCGGGTCAGTCTCCACTGTGCATTCACAAGAGTACCACAACGCATTCTTTGCGCATAAAGGTATTCTCATAGCTTCATAAAATTAGAGTTGAACCACACCACACCTAATGTCACGTCATCCCTGCAGAAATGGTGATGGAATATGTCTTTGTTTTATTCGATTCTCGTCAGCTATCTAGAGCTGGAAATTGAAATGTGCGTGTTGTTACACTATTAAGGAGGAAGATTGAGTGGTTCTGCATTTGCGCCAGTCTTGGCACTGACAGAGATGGAGATGAACTTTTAAGGAGATTGGCCCACATGGTTGTGATGTTATTTTATTGACTGCCTATAGCATGATTCATTACTGCCATTACTGCCATTTCCACTCTGTTCCCCTATACGCAGATCCTCCTGATCAATGGACGTTTTACTTAGTTGACAATGAAAGCTATGGGTCAATTAATGACGATCCTGAGTTAAGCATGAAGTGACTGCAATAATGAACCAAGCTGTGCGTCTTTAGACATTTCTGATTTATACCGCCACCCAGATGTTCTACATCCTGCCTCTTTCCATCAGTTGAGAAGCTATGCTAAATGACTGTGGCATCCAGTAGTCTCTGTGTTGTTTGATATATAGGTCTCAAACCAAGGTAATGGAGCTCTTCCACTCAGAATGATAAATTGAAGTGATATTTGTGTGGTCTCACCCACACTGGTGTGGTCCCATGACGGAGGAGGTGGATGTTGAGGTGAGGTCCCTCTCTTTACCCAGAATCCACCTCCTTTCCCATCGGCCTGCCGCAGATAGGCCAGGCTGCCCTTTGTTTTATCCCCACTGTGACTACAGGTTAATTTATTTGAGCTTGTTGCAAGCCCATGGATAACCTCAGCCTCTGTTGTGTGCCTGTGCTAATTTAACAACAGGAGATTTATTGTTTAAACAGAGTCCCAATGAACAAAAATATAATTGCTGGAGCTTGTCAAATAAATCCTCTCAGTCAAGATATTTTTTACCTGGGTATGCTGATTGCTCCATTTATTTCTCTAAGTTCTCCAGGCCCTCAAAACACCCTCAGACCCCAGGGGTTAACACGTCTGCCTACGAGTATTTTGCTTTGTAGATCTTCACGCAACTGATTTGGGATCAAAATAAAAAATTAAACACTTTTATTCAAATATTTGTAATAATTATGATTTTTTTAAAATGTCCTTGGGACAAGCAGGGATTTTCCCTGCTTTACATACTTTTGGCCAATAAACCCAGTGATATCAGCGTTGGTTGCCATGCAACAAAGAAGCCTGTTCGACTTCCTGGGGTGTTACGCATTCCGGGGGGAAGGGTCCATGGGTCCTCATATGGCTTGTTAACTGAGGTTACAGAGTATTTGTCATATAAAAAGAGAATATATAGTGTGTTGGATTGGTCCAGACGCTACATTTTTAAAAGAAGTCTCTTATGCTATTCAAGGGTGCATTTCTTTGATCAGTAGTATGCAGTATGAACAGTAACATTGTAAAATATTAATATAATTTAGAATAACTATTTTCTGTTGTAATATATGTTAAAATGTAATTTATTTCTGTGATGGCGATGTTGAATTCTCAGAAATCATTACTCCTGGCTTTAGTGTCACATGATCCTTCAGAAATCATTCTAATATGCTGGTGCTTAATACACATTTCATATTATTATCAATGTTGAAAACAGTTTTTTGCTTAATATATTTGTGGAAACCGAGGTACAGTACTATTCATTTTTTTTTACATCAAGTAATATTTACTTTAATTATTTTATTTATATTTTATTCAAATATTTTTATTCAGCAAGGACAGCTTAAAATAATCTGAAATTAACAGTAAAGACATTTATGTTAGAAAAGATTGCTATTTAAATAATTAAGTTATTTTTTACTTTGTATTCATCAATGTAGCAATAATAAGAAACACTGGTAATAATAAAAAACATTATAAATACTTGTAGCACTAATGATAAGTGACCAGCAAATCAGCATATTAGAATGATTTCTGAAGGATCATGTGACAAAAAAAAAATCATAATTATTACAAACTTTTGACTGGTAGTGTACATGGCATAGAAGGACTTATGTTAATACTTTCTATCTGTGTCTTCACAGAACCCAAGAATGATCTATTCCTCTTCTATGGAAAGGGACGACCTGGAATAATCCACGGTCTGGACATGAATGTGAAGTCTAGCAATGAGTACATGGTTCCTATTGAGGACTTGGTGAATCCAAGAGCTCTTGACTATCATGCTGAAACAGGAAACATTTACTTCGCTGATACTACAAGCTTTTTGATAGGGCGGCAGAAAGTCGATGGAAGCAGTCGGGAAACAATTCTCAAAGATGGTAAATACTGAACATTTTGCATTCTTCTTCATATTATTGGTGTTTTCAATAATATGTTTGTAGTTTGTAAAGTTGCTTCATTTTCTAACACAAAGACTCTGTTTACACCTGAAATTGCATGAATTGAAATCATATAAATGGTACAAAGGTTGTTATTTTTTTCGATAACAGCTTTTCAGCAGCCAAATTGTGTGTGCTCTTACAGATCTTGATAATGTGGAGGGGATTTCAGTGGATTGGATTGGAAATAATCTCTACTGGACCAATGATGGCTACAGAAAAACCATCAGCGTGGCTAGGCTGGAGCGGACATCTGAAACCAGGAAGACTCTTTTGGAGGGAGACATGTCTCACCCTAGAGCCATAGTGGTGGATCCTCTGAATAGGTACAGTAGAGAAAACATATATTCATACTGTATTTTTAACAATCCTAAATATAGATTATGTATTATACAGTGATTTGAAATGCCAATCATCATTCATAGATTTATGATTTGGATAGAAGCATTTGTTACTTTTTTTTATATATTTTATATTATTTAACTACCAGGGCTTTTCATATCTGGTCAAAGGTTTCTATTTCATGTGCTTTTGCAGCGTTGAGTAATGTAGCAATCGTAGACATATGTGTTAGTTTCCTGAATGCAGTGGTCATTCAGAGGTGTTAAAGTTTTTTCTTTCACTCAAAGGCTTTTTTTTCAGTGCTGAGGTCTGCACGTTCGCAGATCCTCTCATAAGAAGGTGTAGATACAATGTAAATAAGAGATTAACTGTGCAGTGTAGAGCTTCATTGATTATAACGTAACTTTGTGAGATCACGATGAATTACGATGAGTGACAGCCTTTTAGTGATTGTGAGGGGAGTGCTTTTTGCACACTTGTTGCGCACCCACTCAAGCATTCATTCTCAGAACTGCAATGAATGACATTGCAATAACCATTAATCCAAGATTGCCACTTGCCATTGTGTAGCATTTACTACTTCAGTTAACTGAATGAAAGTGGAGCAGATTCGAGCTGGTGTGTTTGAGTGGAGGCGGGGACTAATTAGCATATTCATGATTTCATGCATACTCAATGAGGTAAGAGTGTAGAGTTATATTCAAGAGCTATATACCATTTTAAGATGTGAATACATAGTTTTCATGGGGGAAAAATATATGATTTGGATGAAAAAGGTGAGTTTTAATTGATAAAATTAGTGATTGTAGAGGGACTTTAACCAGTTTGGTGCCAAAATATAAGGCATCCCTAAGCTTGTTCTGTTTTGTGGATATGGCCATATACCTTGTATTATTGAAAAATCAGTTACACTTTATTTCGACAGTCCACTTTAGACATTCTACTAACTATAAGTCACTTTGCAAACACATGTCAACTAACTCTAATAAGAGTATTAGTAGATTAGGCTTGGGGTTTGTAGAATAAATTGAAATGTATTTGCAAAGTTTCTTATAGTCAGTAGAATGTCTGTAGGGGCACCAACAAAATAAAGTGTTTGCAGATGTTAAGTTGGCAATTTACTAATACTCTAATAACTGGTGGTTGCAAAGTAGTTGCAAAGTTACTTATAGTCAACAGAATTTCTAAAGTAAGTAGCAAAATAAAGTTTTACCAATAAATCTGGTTAAAATATGCTTGGAAAAGCATGAGTGACCTTCCTTTACATCAACATTTGCAATCTGTGATGAAATGCTGAGCTCTTCTCACTTTCCACATGGCCTGAAGGAACAGTCTTTATTTACCAGTTTATTTACCAGCATTTGTTTACACTGCATGGCTTCAAAGGCGAATGCAATTGTACATAGAGTAGTGAAGCATGTGTGCGCCCATCCACGCATATCTCCGTCTGCACTGGTTAATGTGTGTGTGTACCAGTAAGCTGACATGGCACGGCCAGTAAAAAGGTGAGTTTGATGGCCCAGAGCCAATCTCATTATCACCCTCCCTGGGTGTGAGAGTAACTCATGAATCCTGAGGAGGTGCAGCCAGCCAACGCTGATAAAGCGAGATACTGCAATGAGGAAACAACCACTCTCGGTCCTCTCAGATCCAATCAGACAACCTGCTCACTCTCTTTTTATCTGATTAAAAAGTACTCAAGTACCGAAATACTGATTGGTCGGTGGTCGTCAGATCTTTTGGGGCATTCCACGTGGTATCTTAAGGGTGCTTTGAGTACTTTTGAATGAATTTATTTTTAAATCTCTGTAAATAAATGGCTTATTTAAAAGTGTGCACTTATCATTAAGTAATTAATATACATTGGAATAGATTTTTACCATCTTTAGTGAACCCAAGTGGTGTTGATTACCAAATCATTTGAAGAGAGGGAAAGCAACTGCAGAATAGTTTCATTATTTCCAGACACAATGGGTTCATTAGCTCAGAGCCGTAATTATATTCATTGCTCAGACCTCACGCTTGTACAATTTATGCGACTCTCTCTCTCGCATTTAATGAAGCTAATGTATCTTGAATGGCAGTGCTAACAATAAAATAAGCAAGGGGCAATGACAGGAAGCTAGAAACTGTCTTTTTGTGAGTTTGTCGACAGATACTTGTAAATAGCGCACATTTGCGTAAGTAAAACGTGAAAATGCCAACTTATCTCCCAGTCACCACCGCATGTCATTCCCTTTGGGATGACTTCAGTGCTGTGGAAGCGATTAAAATCTGCATTAAAAGCATCGTCTGCTGAACTGCCAGCTCAGAGGATGTCACGCAGACTGCTTGACACTATTCTTTGGGAGTGGAAAGCTAAAGTTTTCTGGAGCTAGCGCTCAGGCAGGAAATAAGAGGCACACCTCTTCTGAGGTGCTGTTGATGTGTCCTGTTTTGACAGCCAGTAAAAAAGACTCTGAGGAAAAAGTTGAAGGTGGAAGATGGAAGTGTGGAGTGGATGCAAATTTTTGACCTCTTTCTAACAGGGCATCAGAGGAAAGAGTGCATGAACTTTGAACGATGGCTAAAATAGAGTGATTCATGTACTGTGCTTCAAAGCAAAGCTAGCTTTTTGTGGCTGTTTTTCAAGTCCAGAGTGAGAAACTTATCAGATGCATGATTATTACATTTGATATTTTAACAATTTAATCATTATTAGAATATGATGCAATACTATTAGAATAGCTTAATAATATATAATTATTTTTGTAATTAAAACATTGAAATAAAAATATTATGATTTAATTTGACCAGTCTGTAAATGTAAGATGTAGATGTAGATGTAAATATAAAATATAGTGTTAACTATACTTAAACAATATTTTCATTAAATATCATATAACTGAATGGAAAATATTTTTAATCAATTCGACATTTTTTTTATTAATCTCTAGTTCAATTTTCAATCAAATAAATGAAGCCATCATGAGCATGAGATGTCTTTCAGAAACATGAAAAAAATATTATCGACTCCAAGCTTTTTAATTGCAGAGTGAGAAATTTGAGACTTATCACATTTATAAGTTAAGAGATAACAGTGAGATAACTGATCCAATTTGATATTTTAACAATGTAATAATTATTCTGATATATAAAAAAAAATCTTACAATAATATAATAAATTATAATGAAAAAATATGATTAAATTATTGATATTAATAAATGTATCAATATAATCAATATAAATGTAAAATTTGGTTCATTGTTTAAGATATTTGTTGACCCAAGCATATTGTTATATTGCATGCGTAGTAAATATTAACAATCCAGTAAAAATGTCTTGCTCAAATATCTTGCAGCCAATTTAACCTTTATTTTAATAATCTCTAGTATAATTGTGGCTGTGTTGTTTTGACCCACCTCTATGGGCTTATTTATAGAAAGGGGGTTAGGCCCCATCATTAGGGGTTGGCCATCTATCAGGTGAGCAGGTGGCATGTTGATCTTTGTCTGGGCTGCTGGATGGGCTTCCCCCTGAAATAAAACCCACCTGTCCTGATTTCTTTATCTCTTCCACCCATACAGTATACATCTCTCTGTTGATGCCACAAGCAGCCTGTGATAGCATGATAAGAATGTACATGCCTGCCTCAGTAACTCTTTTCTCTCTTTTAGTATCTTGTGTTCTGTCATTTGGACTTTCAGGATTTACATCTCTGTCTCTCCATTTGTTTGATGTGTTTTTTTTTTTATCTTACTCTGTGCTCACTTCATTGCTGTCCTATATTCATTCCCAGGAGCAGATTTTCGAAACTGTGGGATTTTCAGCCGGTCAAAGCTGATTTTGTAAACTCCTTTGTTGTCCTAGCTTGATGCTCCAGTTTAAGGAATGTCTCTCTCTCATGCTCATATCCTCACCTATATTTACTACTTATTTTTGTCTTTCATCCTCTCACTCCCTGGTCATTAACTATTTCACAAACACTACCTTTCAAAACTTTGGGTTCAGTCATTTTTGTGTGAAAGAAATTAATACCTAGAAAGGGCATTGAATTGATTAGAAGTTACAGTATATAACATAATTTAATATAACATAAACAACAATATTGTTGTTTTACTGTATTTTTGATCACGTAAATGCCATCATGTTGAGCAGTCTTTCAAAAACATTAAATTTTACCAACCTCAAACATTTGTAGCAAATCAGCTCATGGAAAATATGAATAATTAACCATAACTAGTTATAATTAACTATTCATATTTTAGATCCACTGTAGATATTTAGCTGACCACTCAGGGTCAACCGTCTTGTCAATTCTAAGAACGTTAATTTCCTGGTTAAAGGAAATAACCTTCTTACTGCACAATTCTATAAGTTTGTAACGTAAATCTGCATGATTATTGACTCCGGTTATGAGTAAACAATGAACACGTCAAGTGTGATACAAGTAAGGTTTTATTAACTACATAAACACTTAAACTAGTCTAACATACTACATAAACACATTAAGCCGGTCTAACATACACATACACACACACACACACACATACAGTTGGTATAGGAAAGGGTTAAAGGCGTTTTTCTCACATCATCTTTGCTTCTGACTGAATCACCGACTGGGGCGGGTCCCTGGAGCCGGGCCTTTAAGGTCGGAGAAGATCTCCGCCTTTCAAGATGGGCTTGTCCAATGAGCAAAATGGAATTTCCGAGCGGGAGGTGGCAATTGCTGGAGGGTTTACGACCCTTTGTTCTCTAAGCATGGTAATTTGCAAATGGACTTAAATCGAAATTATTAACGATTCTCAGGGCCCTAATATATATTGCCTATGTACCACCATATAATATGCACGCTTGTTTCGATCATAAGAAGGCAAATTCATAGATACTAAACAAGGTAAGATTACATATAGTGAAAAGGGAGGATCAGGAATGGGTCCTCTCACAAGCATACTAAAATAGTCTAAGAATATCAAAGACAAAATACACAATGACAATAATATACTCAATGGCCTGAAGAAATATGTGTGTTCATTCAAATAACGGTTTTTCTATGAATTAACTAGAACACAGTCATTTCTACTCTGCTTTTCCTTGGGACAAGCAGGGATTTTCCCTGCTTTACATACTTTTGGCCAATAAACCCAGTGATATCAGCGTTGGTTGCCATGCAACAAAGAAGCCTGTTCGACTTCCTGGGGTGTTACGCATTCCGGGGGGAAGGGTCCATGGGTCCTCATATGGCTTGTTAACTGAGGTTACAGAGTATTTGTCATATAAAAAGAGAATATATAGTGTGTTGGATTGGTCCAGACGCTACACATTGGAACTGTAGTGTATATGTGACAGTTATTTATTTATTTATTTATTTATGTACAGCATTAGATGCATGATTGATTGATTGGGAAAAGTATTGGAATATTATTTGATAAACGATCTTCTGACAAACAATTAATCTAGCATGAAATGTAAGTGGCTTAAATCCAAATTTGAAGGAAAGCATCATGAAACAAGTTTCCAGAGAAATATGAAATATATAATTTTTTTAGCAACTAATTTAGGTTAAATTTCAACCCTAGTGTTTTTTTTTAAAACTGTATATATAATGTCTGTTAATTTGATGCTTCTTTATAAATCTATTAAAAGGGTTCTTCTTCTTCTTCTTCTTCTTCTTTTCTTCAGTGTTCATTGCTAAACTAAACATTTATAAAATCCTCATAGAAAATGAACCGAAAATAAAACTGGTCATATCATTTTTTTGTTTGTTTGACCTCCTAAAAATTATACTATGTTATATTATAAATATTAGATATTTATAGAATATCTAATATATCTTTATTATTTTATTATAACATTTATTTATTATTTATTATTTTATTTTATATTTATTATATTTATTTATATCTCATATTTTATTTAACTGAAAATAAAACTGATCATATAGTTTTTTTTGTTTGACCTCCTAAAAATTATACTATGTTATATTATAAATATTAGATATAATATTTTCTGAAGGTTAAACACCTTCAGAACATTAGTTGAAAAAGTAAAAAATAATAACAAGAGTTCGTTTGTTATGAGCCTCAGGCCCTGTTTTGTGCTCTACTCATGGAAAATGGCATGTGATATTTGCTCATTTTGATTAGATCCTGCATGTTGTTACATTCTGAACAGTGCAGGATGAGACTTGGAGCAGGCTGTTTGCCTTCTGAATAATTCATGGGGTCACGTATCCAACACACTGGGACAGAGAGCACTTGATTCGCCCTCTATCCAATTCTGTTTTATGTGGTGCACATGAAGTACGGCTTCTATCATTGATGAGACAGAAGAGCTTGCGTTGACCGCTGAGTAGTACTCAGAGGCAACAAATCCCTTAAGCACACTTACTAGGGAAAGGATCATGTCAGAACATTGACCCAATCACTTTTCAAATATCACTAACCCATTGAGAGTCACAGTTCATGTTGGCACAGAAGTCTATATGCCTAACACAGAAAAGGAAATGTGTAAAAAAAAAAAAAAAAAAAAAAAAAAAATATATATATATATATATATATATTCTCCAGATGAGCTTAATTTCCCCTATGTGCGAGTTGCTGACTTTTTTAAGCATATTTTGTTTGTTATGTTCAGTTAAACTTGTACATTTTTAGACCTCGAGGCAATTTGTTTTAATCTGCTTCAACTGTACACTGCCTGTCTTAGTGAGTAAGATGTGACTGATATTCATGCCTGCTTCAAAAGTAAATTCAAGGGCTGTTTTCATGGACTACACTGACTGGGCTCTGGTTTTGGTTGCAGTTGGATGTACTGGACAGATTGGGAAGAGGATGAGGTGAACGACAGCATTGGTAGAATAGAGAAAGCCTGGATGGACGGTTCCAACAGGAAAATATTTGTCACATCTAACATGCTATGGCCCAATGGACTCACTCTGGAACATGGAACCAGTACCATGTACTGGTGTGATGCCTATTATGATCATATTGAGAGAATCTATCTCAATGGGACTGGCAGAATGGTGAGTGAAATTGCTCAAATGTTGCCATTTCTTTGCTTAAATCGTTGAAATCAAATGGGATTATTGTTAACAAATGAGACAGCGCTTCCTAAAACCTGAAAGAGGATTAGTATTTAACCTGGGTTACCTTATAATTTACTTGAAAATACTTTTTTTCTTGTTCTTGTTCTGCAACATATAAATTATCCACAGTCCTACCTCAAATGTGAATTTTGTTTCTAATAAGTTGTTAATATGGGCTACAACTCCAATGATAATGCTGACTAATAAGGACCACAACTCAACAATTAATCAAGCTTGTAAACTCACATTTTTAATCAGGCAGTGATTTCAAAAATTGACATTTGAGGTCTAGCTTGTGGAATGGGAAAGTATCTTCAAGTAAAGTTCACCACAAACTTTATTTTACTCCAGATCGAAAACCCATTAGAAATTCCTGAGGGAACCCACGGAAAATTAGCTTTCTGAATAGGTTTATGGATTGACATCATGACTAAACAGCTCTACTATTGAGACAAACATTGACAGAATAAACATGTAGAGCTAAAAAATATATGTTGACAGCATAGCTCAGATAATTTGGTCAAAAATAATTGAACGAAAAATGAGAGTGCATTTTGAGAGTTTGCTGCCATATACTTGAAGCATTGGTACATCGTTAACATCACTTTTTAAACTTTTCATCCTATTGCTGTGTAGGAGAAAAAAATGAGATGTTAAAGAAACAAAAAAAGGGGTTATCCTCTCACACAGTTGTCAGAACAGTGCATGGTAATGTGTTTTTTTTGCAATTCACTGTAGGTTGTGTACAGTGGCAGGGAACTCAATCACCCGTTTGGGATTGCACAGTACCAAAATTCCATCTTCTGGACAGAGTACATGAACGCCTCCATCTTCCAGCTGGATCTGGTCTCTGGTGAAGTCTCTCTGCTGAGGAGTGAACGGCCCCCTCTGTTCGGGCTTCGAGTATATGATGCACAAAGCCAGCTGGGTAAAGTCACTTTAACTAAAGAAAAGTTACAAGATGACACATTTTTCATCTTTTTCCAATATTTTGATGAATAATGGTTGGAATTGATCTTTTTCCCTTTTAATTCATACAGGTAAGTTGCAATGTAAATTGAATTAGCCGCAACACAGAGGATTTTGAATCCATTAATCTAATTTTGATTGTAGGCAGAGTAGATGACTTCTGTTTATTGTCTCCATCTTGTGAACTAATTAATAATGGTTGCTTCTATTTTGAAGACTTTTGAGTAAATTAAACCATTCTGGAAATGTAATTGTTCTTCTACCATGGCAAAAAGAACGTTGGTTTATTAATGTACACTACCATTCCAGCTTGGGCTTAGGAAGTTGTTTTTTCCCCCTTCTTTTTAAAGAGTAGGACCTGCTTTTTTAATACAGCAGGAATGCATTTATTGGATAAAAATGTGACAGTGAATACTTTAACATTTTTACAAAATAATAAATTAATAAATATAAAATAAAATAAATTAGTAAAAGAACAGGCAAATTAAAAATGCTATATATACACTCAACAAAATTATAAATGCAACACTTTTGTTTTTGCCCCCATTTTTCATGAGCTGAACTCAAAGATCTGAGACTTTTTCTATGTACACCAAAGGCCTATTTATCTCAAATATTGTTCATAAATCTGTCTAAATCTGTGTTAGTGAGCACTTCTCCTTTGCCGAGATAATCCATCCACCTCACAGGTGTGGCATATCAAGATGCTGATTAGACAGCATGATTATTGCACAGGTGTGCCTTAGGCTGGCCACAATAAAAGGGTTGTGAGGCCAGTTGGATGCACTGCCAAATTATCTGAAACGCCTTTGGAGACGGCTTATGGTAGAGAAATTAACATTCAATTCACAGGCAACAGCTCTGGTGGACATTCCTGCAGTCAGCATGCCAATTGCACGCTCCCTCAAAATTTGCGACATCTGTGGCATTGTGCTGTGTGATAAAACTGCACATTTTAGAGTGGCCTTTTATTGTGGCCAGCCTAAGGCACACCTGTGCTATAATCATGCTGTCTAATCAGCATCTTGATATGCCACACCTGTGAGGTGGATGGATTATCTCAGCAAAGGAGAAGTGCTCACTAACACAGATTTAGACAGATTTGTGAACACTATTTGAGAGAAATAGGCCTTTTGTGTTCATAGAAAAAGTCTTAGATCTTTGAGTTCAGCTCATGAAAAATGGGGGCAAAAACAAAAGTGTTGCGTTTATAATTTTGTTCAGTGTATATTCCAAATAAATGCAGCCTTGATGATCATAAGATACTTCTTTCGAAAACAGTAAAAAATCTTACCAAACCCAAACTTTTTGCATGCTTTTCAATTCACTCCTGAATGATGCTCAGCATTGGACTTTGGTACATAATGGTTAATTTTACCAAATTGCAATATGCATGAATTAAATAGAAAAAAATCTGGTGGAAAAATGTTTCACATATTACATGCAGTAGTGCATTCTTTCAGAAAATTCATAATAAACGACATTTTTAATCACAGTGCAGCTATTACAAATGTTCATGGCTTTAGCTTTGATTAGCATAGACCCAACTGCAGAGCAGGAACCTTACTGTTGAGTGGGTGGGTTTAATCCACTGAAGTGGGGACTAAAGCTCTGTTTAGAATGTTTAACTCTGTGTGGATGTCTGAGGCAAGGAGGGATGATTACTGTCATCCTCCCTCATAACTGCCAGTCACAACACGCAGAGGGAGGGACACTGCTCAGCGGGGCCCTTGCACATGCAGACGAGCGGCACAGAGAACGCAGCCGTGTGTTCGGCTCCCACATGTTTCATCTCTTACTTACCTAAGGGTGGTGCAGTTTTAGGAGAGCAGACAGTACGCTGCTTGTCAGAGAGACTCACTCTTTTGAGAATGAAGATGTAGGCAGTTGGGACCAGCAGACTCATGTTTTAAATATTCTCCTCTTGACATCGAACTTCGTAACAGCATTCGTAACACCAAGACTTCTGAGAGGAGAAGGTGGGGAACTGCCGTTATGTCACGTAAGAATTTCCTGGCCCGAAAATGCGGGCTTTTTGATAGTCTACGTTCTCAGCAGAAGAGGAATTTCTTCAAAGCGCTTGTCAGGAGAAAGATTAATTGTGTTTCCGCTCCCTGGAGTACCACAGATTGGCCATTACAAAACAGTTTTTATCTCATTGGTTCAGGCAATGCCTTTCAACCCCTCTCTAAATGAAACCTTATTATTGTCCCCATGCCTCAACTTAATAAGTGACAGTTTTCTCACAAAACTGTGTTTTTCTCCTCTCCTCCCCCATCGTAGGTGTCATTGCCCACATAACGAATTATATCTGTGAAAGAAAAAGAGTGTCAAATGGCTCTCTTCTCCAGTGTTTCCCATAATTTACTTGACGTGTGATTAAAAATAATGCCCCTGTGTACCACCGGCATCCCAGAAGAGCAGGAAATTGGTTCTGAGTGGGCAGTGAAGAAGAACTTTATGTTCTGTGCTTCAAGGAGAGACGTTGCTAAAAGCCATAAAAGGATGAACACATAAACAGCCGTCCTGCCGGTGGGAAAGAAGATTTGTAGATATCTGTTGTTTAGGCCTATGTTTGTTTTTTAGGTGACAATGCCTGCCGGGTGAATTACGGTGGTTGCGGTACCCTCTGTTTGGCCATCCCGGGAGGCCGGGTGTGCGCGTGTGCCGACAACCAGCACCTGGACAAGAACAATATCACATGCTCTGGTAGGCTGCTTTAAATACCATTCCCTTAAAAAAAAAAAAAAAAACACAGGTCAAGAAGTCTGAAAAGGACTAGGAGTATAACTTAAAAAAATAAATAAATAAAGTAATAATTTACCGGTGTATTCAATCATGATCATGTATAATTGTAAGTAAATTTCTCAAATTGACAAAAATCTAATTGTCATATTTAAAAGTATTTATTTAACTAATATTTTAAATAGTTTAATGTTCAAAAAAAAAAAAAAAAAAAAAAAGAAAGAAAATGGAAAAGCTCAATATGTTAGTAGTAACCTGTGCCTTTGCTGGCAGCCATTGGTCATCAAAATGTATTTTTATAAAGTGCTCTTTTTAAAATGTAATTTAAAAGCTAAATTTCTTTTCTTTTCTTTTTTTTCTTTTTTTTTCTTTTATCTTTGCTTTTAAACATAAGTAAAATAGTTTTACATGTTTTTTTTCTTTTTTTTGGATTTTGAAAACTAATTTAAACGATTTGAAACGATTTTTAAATTATACATTTCTGATTTTTATTATGTTTGTTTTTGTTGTTTATTGTTTTGTTTTGTTTTGGTTCACTCCTAGTCCTCAGTCATCGTCATCAGTCATCAGTTACTCAAATAAAGACAAAGGACAGAATCGAAGTTTATACTGCTTTAAATAGTTTTTGTCACGTTGCAATGCTATAATAAAGAGAGAAGTAGCACACTTGATTTATTTGAAAAAGTAGCTTGAGTATAATAGTATGAATTCAAAAAGCAATCTGTTGCTTTATTTGTAGTATTAAACTCAGACTCCGCATCACCCCTACACTGTGACTGACTATATTTTCCTTGAAGTTCTTTTTCTACAATTCAGTTTTTCTTCTTGTGAAGACTCTGCAGGTCAAGAGGAGCCCCAGCGGTGCAAAAATGATGAGTTTCAGTGCAGGAACTGGCGCTGCATACGAGTCAATTGGATTTGTGATGGAGATGATGACTGTTTAGATGGCAGCGATGAGGAGGCCCACATATGCTGTATGTACCTTGTTTTCTTTCTTTCTGACAGCGATGTATAATCCCTGTTGTGTCTGCTTTACTGAACCATCAAACCTCTGTGGCCTTAAGCTGTGTCGTTTAGCGTGCACATAGTGTCATATATGTCTGTGATGTATCACTCAATATAAAATGTATATTCTGTTCAGGTGTCACAGATGTCATGCATTTTTTTACCGACCTGGTAACAAGATGAACACTGCAATAATATTACAATGTTATTTTAAACTTTGTTTTTTGTTTTTATTATTATTCTTTAGTATATGCAGTGGTCCAGTATACAGTTTAGTGATCATTATGCAAACATTTTCAAATTCACAATGCCCCAAATGACCAGCCAAAAGCAATAATTCCAGACAGCTGTATAATAAGTAAATATATATGCTGATAAAATGTATACCATAGCTTGACTTGCACTGGATAAAAGCATCTACATAAATGTAAATCTGAGCAAGCAGACTGTTTGCATATCATTTGTAGATAATTAACAAGTTGCTAATTGACATCTCAGGGAAAAAACGGCTGCAATATCAAACGGGAAGAACGCCAGTATCAAATTGTTCTCCCACGCACTGCATTCCACCGCACAATCATCTTATGAGCTAATCGATAAGATAAGCACCATGTTAAAATGTTGGGGGCTGAGTCATTTTTCACTATGAGAAATACTTTAACGTGATGTTCTGCCAGAATTATCAGAATTGCAAAATCAATTTTCTGCTCTGCTGGGATGTCTTATAGTTTAATACGGCTGAAACTTTACTGCCTGATCCCACTCGAATCCGGTTTTTCATTTAATCTGTTACTCATTGTCTGTTGGTGACGCGCTGAGTATCCAGGGTTATGAGTAATAGCAGGTTCTATTATTAAATAGAGCAAATAGTAGAGGAAAACACAGGCGCTACTTTAAATAAACTCAAAAGCCTGAGGGCAAACACATATTTTTGAAATAAATGTGAAGCTAGCTCAAGAGAATAGATGAATAGCAAAATGAAAACTGCTGTGTCAAAACAAAAGTAGAGTATTATGCATATGAACTCACTTATATGTAGAGCGGGCTGTCAGCAGTATAACAAAACATGTAAAAAAAAACAAATAATAAAAAATAAATAAAACAACCGAAATATATGTCAAGCTTGAAAATGCTTTGTAACATTCTTAGATACAGTATGTATTTTTTTTTAAACAAAACATTTCCTGTTTGACATGCTTTGAATTTTTTGTTTATGTTGTTCCTTCCAGCTAACCACAGTTGCCCGGTTGACCAGTTCAAGTGTCCCAATAATCGTTGCATACCCAAAAGGTGGCTTTGTGATGGAGCCAATGACTGTGGAGATAACGAAGATGAGTCTAATAAAACATGCTCAGGTAGAGCTCGACTCCCTCATACATATTAAACAGATCCATCCACCAATATGTGCCAGTAATACATCGGGGTCACATATTATAAAACTCATAAAACTTATTAATCCTCTATGAAGGATTTTAGTATTTTTTCTTTGTCTTCCTGTCCTGTCATTGAGTCACATAACTGTAGAATCTTAAAACGAGCATTAATATGACTTAATTATTAATATTTAATAATTAATATCATATAACATCATCAAGTGGCATAAATGGGCAGCAAATTGTATTGGCGGCATTACTGAGAAATTACATGTATAGTTTCATATTTTAAGAGGCAAAATATTAATTCGTCTTAGATCAATATATACTTTTACAGTTACAAAAAGGTCTTATTTGAGACATGCTACCTTCTCAGGTACTGTAATAGGGCAAGGTGCATTGACTTACTCTCTTATGAGAGCATGATAATCGATAAATGTGTATGTGCAATGAAGTGAACTTTCTTGCTACGGATTGTCAGAATCACTTTTCCCCAACCTTCTTTTTTATAAAATCGAGTAACACCTGGCCTGTTTCCAGTAGTTAACACTCTTTCACTATTTTAAGTGCTGTAAGATCAATGGAAGGAAGGAACATATGTGATAAATGCTGTCAACAGTCTGACATCCCGCTGATAAAGCTGACCCTCCAGCCGGAGACGGCTCAGACCTTTGTTGACTTGGCAGAAGCAGTTAGAGCAAAGCGATGTGGAACACAAGTGATTATACTGAATCAGTGAAGAGCTGAAATTGATAGCAGATGTTAAAGCGATTTAATATTTCATGATTCAAGATGATCTGAAGCAGAGAATTGCTTGAATTGGCTGTAAAATAGTCTCTGGTGTATCAGTGCAATTTTGATCAGAAAGCTTGGAATTAAATGATTGCCTTTTGGTGGGACTAATTCCTGGAGTCACACATGAGATTAAACTACCTTAAAGAAATTACTCTTATACTTAAATTGTTTGCCTCTTATAGGTGTGTTTAAAGTATGGCCAGTAGGATTAGGAATCAAAAACGCGTGCAAGGTCATTTAATTGTGTGTGATTAAAAAGAACCTTTGTTGTTGTTCTGCTAATGGTTCTGTTAATTGTTTTGTTTTGTTTTAGTTTTGTTTTAGTTTTGAAACAGCACAAGAATGCAAGAAAGAAAGGGTAGCCCTTCTGTTCCTTTGTTATCAGTTCTTATGAAAGGAGGTGAAGAGTATTTTCCCCCTTACACTTTAAACAATAAATGTAACAACCTAAATTATAGTAATGTATACATTTGTTTTAAGAAACTACTCAGTTTGTTTATTTTAATTATAGAACTAAACATGTTTTAATTGGAGTGTATTCCTGTTAATGTTTGTTTGTTTGTTTGTTTGTTTAATTAGGCTACTTAATTAATTAAGTACAAATTGTATTATTCTGTTGAAACAATCTGTTCTCTAAACATTTCCTAAACAGTTTTTTTCTTGCTCAAAATTACCAAACAAACAAATAAAAGAATCATTATATGGAAGCAGAATAAAATATTATTTCCTTTGTGATTAATATCTCAGGTGGCCACTGCTAAATACACTAAATGCCATGAATAATCAGATTATCTTGTTTCCTTTTTCGTTTTGTCTTTAGCCCAGCCATGTCGGACTGGTCAGTTCACCTGTGGTAATGGTCGCTGTGTACCAGAAGCGTGGCGCTGTGATCAAGATGATGACTGTGGAGACATGTCAGACGAGTCCACTTCCTGTGGTGAGTCACCATCCTACTAGCTAATTGGCTTGGCAAATTTGACTATGGTGTAACTGGTGAATCTGTCAGCACTGTCATCATGAACCTGCTTTATTTAGGACAAGTCTCTCTTATCCCTTTTCCACCAACACAGTGCCACTTCTTGTACCAAATCTGGCCGCATTACATGTTTCTGCAACCAAATAAACTAAAAACAAACTGAAAATCTAGGTGTAAGAATGTAACAAATACTGTAATTTGCCATGATTTTTGTGGACAGGTTATGCTATAAAATAGTAAGTTTGTCTCTCATAAAACACTTGCCAGTTCTAAGAGAGCTTTGACTCTAAAGGTGTATTTTTGCTGCCCACTCTTACATTATTTCGCCAAAAACATCTACATGTCAATGTTCAGGACTGAATACAATGTTAACCAAGTACAGTACATTTCTTCAGCCCCCGAGTCTGTGCTTTTAGAAGCAGAAAGGAAAAAGGAATTAAACTTGGATGCATGAGCTTTTAAGAGTGTGGCGGTAATACAAATCATAGATTCTCTGATGTTAAAAGCTCACCATAAACACATCCCAGACCCTGAAAGCAGACGAAAGGAAATGACACAGGGCTTTGAGAGGAAATGGCCCAGGAAGTTTACCACTGTGAACTCCCACAGTGAAACGACTATTCAAAGCAGCACATGAATGCTGGGAATGCTGGGAAAGACAGGTAGCCCTTTGAAGAGGCTCAGCAATATCAGTCAGAAAATTGTTCCTTTCTCATCAGTTCTTATGAAAGGAGGTGAAGAGTCCCCCCCCCCTTATACTTTAAATAAATGCAACTTAATTACAGTTAATAAATGTATTTTTATGGAACTACTCAGTTTATTTATCTTAAAGTGTCACTGGGCGGTAAGAGAGCACCGTAGAAAAACAGGGTCTGAGTCCAAATGCAGGTGAAATTAGATTTATTGAACAGAAAGGCAGACAAAAAGAAACAAAAAACAGATCAGAACGGATAAACAAAACATGATCAGGTGAGGGATACAAATTCAGCAACCAACATGCTTGCATCAACCTACACACAACAAATAACTACAATTACAATTACAATTCAGCCAGGCAGAGTGGTGGGAGTATGGTGTATAAATAGTCCATGACAATGAGGAACAGCTGAGGGTGTAATAAGTGACAGGTGTGTGGAGTTTGGGGAATGGAGTCCGGGAGGACGGGAGATGGCTACCTCTGGTGGTGAGAGGGAGAAACGCAGGGCCCGGTCTCATGACGGAACCCCCTCTCTAAGGAACTGCTTCCAGACATTCCCAAGCACCCGACCAGGGGGACAGCAGAGCGGGGGTGGAGTAGGGGTCCAGGTCCGTGTGCTGGAGGGGGACCTGGGGACTGAGGCAGAGCCGGCGGGATGGAGACCCAGGGCAGAACCAGCGGCAACCACAGCGGTGTGTGAGGAGCTGCCGCCTTGGAATGGGCAATGGCGGGCTCCGCCGCTTCGGGAAGGCCAGAAGCGAGCCCCGCATCCTCTGAGGGAACATCAGCGGGCTCCGCCACTTCAGGAAGGCCAGAAGCAAGCCCCGCCGCCTCTGAGGGAACATCAGCGGGCTCCGCCGCTTCGGGAAGGCCAGAAGCAAGCCCCGCTGCCTCGGAGGGAACATCAGCGGTCTCCGCCGCTTCGGGAACCTTGTGAGTGAGAACCGCCACCTCAGGAGCTTTGTAAACGAGTCCCGCCGCCTCGGAGGGAACATCAGCGGGCTCCACCACTTCAGGAAGGCCTGAAGCGAGCTCTGCCGCCTCAGAGGGAATATCAGTGGGCACCGCCACCACGGGAGAATTGTGATTGGACCCCGCCGCTTCTGGGGAACTGTGAGCAGACACTGCCTCCTCGGGGGAACTGTGAGCAGACACCGCCGCATCGGGGGAACTGTGAGCAGACACCGCCGCCTTGGTGGAACTGTGAGCGGACACCGCCACTTCTGGAGCTTTGTGAGCGGACACCGCCGCCTCGGAGAAACTGTGAGTGGACACTGCTGCCTCGAGAAATATGTGAGCGGACACCGCCGCTTCTGGAGCTTTGTGAGCGGACACCGCTGACTCTGGGGAACTGTGAGCGGACACCGCCGCTCGAACCGACCTCAGCTGAGGATCCTGCATGCTGCTTATCAGCCCAGGACAGCCCAGGAACAACGGGCATGAGGTTCTGGGAACAGCTGACAAGACCTCTGAAGTCTCCTGGATCACAACTCCGAGAAAACTGTGAGCGGGCTCCACAGCGAATTCCACCCTGAAGGATGAGCCTCTCAAGTACAGAGCCCGATTGACATATTCCTTCAGTGACTCCTCGGGGTGCCAGTAAGGCATAAGGGACTTGAAGGGCTCGGCTAGGCCTCCCCAGAAAAAGACCATGAGGTAGGTCTTCTCCGTAACAGACCGGCGAGCTGCTCCAACGAAGTCCCTGGTGTAATCCTCAATTTAAAAAGAAGTTTAGGAACTTCCCTGCTGGACCCATGTTTGTTGGCTGAATTCTGTCACGGGGCGGTAAGAGAGCACCATAGAAAAACAGGGTCTGGGTCCAAATGCAGGTGAAATTAGATTTATTGAACAGAGGGAGATGGTGACCTCTGGTGGTGAGAGGGAGAAATGCAGGGCCCGGACTCATGACATAAAGTTGGTGGGTGTTTTTTTTATTTATTCATTCTTTAATTAATTCCTATTTTCCAACTTTATTCTAAGACAGATACAAAATTAACAAAATTCATGTTTTTATCTTTATTATGAGGATGGGGTAATCATAACTAAACTAATCTGGCTACTATTTTAAAATGCTGGACAGCTGTAAAATATATATAATGTTAGTTTTTTTTTTTTTTTTGAATACATGTCAGTCTCATATCATATCTAGCTCTATGTCATGAAATTTGGTGCTTGTGCTGTTTTCTGGTGACTATACACAAAAATCACTATTCGAGCATGTGATGCATTGTTTCCTTGGGGTCTCTGTGCATTGATATACAGTGTTGGGGAAAGTTACTTTTAAAAGTAATGCATTACAATATTGCGTTACTCCATAAAAAAGCAACTAATTACGTTACTTAGTTACTTTTTATGGAAAGTAATGCGTTACGTTACTTTTGCGTTACTTTTTAAATCTGGACAGGGCTTGCTTGTTTGTTTTTAAAATAAAAAAAAGTTATATTTTTGGCAAATATAAAAGCCTTTTCACACCAAAAGTGAAATGAATAAGCTTCAGGCTGAAGGGAAAGTAAATTTACGTCCCTACAGTAGAATAAAGAAGAAGACATTTCAACACACTTCAACAATAAAAAAAGACTTTTTGCTTATTAGTACGGTTGAACTGGATCATCGAAGGTCAGAAGCAAAGACATTGGTTAATAGAATGGGATTAAATACATAAAGCATATTTGTGTTGTTTAACATTTAACTATTGCAGGTTTGCGTCATATTCTGAGTTGCATTATTTTTATTACTTTTGAGGAATACTGAATCTGTGTTTTTTTTGTGAGTGAGATGAATTAATGCATATTCATATTTATTTTAGAACTACAGTAACAGTATTTGAAAAGTAACCCAGATATTCTCTTGTAAATTAAAAAGTAATGCGTTACTTTACTAGTTACTTGAAAAAAAGTAATCCGATTACGTAACTCGCGTTACTTGTAATGCGTTACCCCCAACACTGTTGATATATGCATTAAAAGATCTGTGTAAATGCATCTTTTCAACGTGTATATATATTACTTCTCCTTCCTGCCATTTCTACTCCCTCAAGCACAAAATTGAAATTCTGACTCTTCTGCCAATTCTCTATCATGCTATGCACTAACAATGTAACTTTCTGGGGTTCTGTCACCAAATGCTGCAAATTGCTCAAAGTGCCATTGTCTTGGTTACCTCTGCTGTGTCTTAGGCTGCCTCAGTACACTTTTGCACAAACACTCGCAGTGTAAGCAGTAATTAGAGTGTACGCCTGACTTCACTTAATCGTAATCAAGCTGGGCTGAAAGACGTGGAGCTCCGCTGCCTCTCACAACTGCACTGCACACAACACACAACACACAACACACCTGAAACGCAGTGACGCTCAGCTTGCTGTATGCTAATTGCCATTTTTGAATCATTCTCGGCTTTCAAAAAATATATTTTTTCCTACCAAGAATATTGGTTTAACAGTATACCTGTGGCAGTTTTGGATCACTAACATACAAAAATAAAAAAGTTAGTTGGTATAAACTTGACCTTAAAATAAGTAATTTTTATGCATTTGTAATGCATTGTCATTTGTAATGGCTCTTTTGAATTTCAATTCAAAATTACGAATAACATTATGATATGCTATGGTTATTTTTGAAATTTTAGACTGTGATGTGCCATATGATCACTGTTGCCAACTCTCGCAAGATAAATAACCAACCGCAGCTTCCAAAACAAGCCCAATATTTTTTTGATGATTTATTATCATCAATATTATTTATTATCAATTATTTATTACCAATAAATGAGCCTGCAACATATTAAACTGAAACCACTCTTTTATCTGAAAAGCAAAAACAGAAGTTATTTTACAAAAATAAGCAAACTGCAACAAATTGGGAACAAAACTCATCTCCAATCACCTGTGAGCAGAATAGGATTGGAGAGATGGAAAAGGAGAAAAACACAAGAGCTTCAAAGGGGAGCTGTAACATAGCCACATATTTATAGCCTACTAAAATATAGGCTATTCGAACCCATTTTATATACTCTTAGTGTTATAGGAGTATAGGACTGCTTGCTTTTTATTACAGCCCGTGATAATTAATACATTACAAAAACATTGTAAAATTTTAAATTAGGCTAAAAGAAAGTCATCCCACTCCTCTATTATGTCTACTTATATCATCGCTTGGATTACAGCGTCACGCGCCTTCTTTTTGAATGTTATTTTTCTCCAATGAGGGGGAGGAGTGGGCGGAACATTTGGCAAACTACGCTGCAGCACTTATATTATTGCACTGGG